AGTGTCACAAAAACTGGGGCTCTGAACTGCTTATGTTTGTCACTGAGCACTTACTGAAAGCCCTTTTTTTTTTCTTAAATAATTTTGCTCTAATCTTTAACATTCTTCAATCACCTAGCTTAATCCCAAACCTGATACCATATCAAGGAACAAATGTATTGGATTTGTGTGGCAAGGTTTTGGTAGTGGGGGACTACAGGGATGGTTTCTATGAGAAGCTGCCAGAATCTTCCCCCAAGTCCAGTAGTGCCAATGCCAGCTGGCTCCAGGACAGACACATCACTGACCAAGGATGAGCCCAGCAGCAACAGTGGCTGTGCCTCTGGGATAACAGAGTTAAGAAAGGGGTGAAAAAGTGTTACTGCACAGCAGTAACTGCAGCAGGAGAGAGGAATGAGAATATGTGAGAGAAAGAGCCCTGCAGACACCAAGGTCAGTGCAGAAGGAGGAGGTGCTCCAGGTGCTGGAGCAGAGGTCCCCCTGCAGCCCCTGGTGCAAACCGTGGCAAGGCAGCTGTGGCCCTGCAGCCCATGGAGACTCCATGGTGGAGCAGGGGGATGCCCATGGCAGCTGTGACCCCATGGGAAGTTGGCACAGTCTCCTGGCAGGACCTGTGGTGAGAGAAGCCCACACTGGAGCAGTGTTGCTGGCAGGACCCCACAAGGGATCCACACTGGAGCAGCTCACAGAGGACTGACTGTCTGCTGTGGAAGGAACCCCCATGTGGATCCGGGGAGCAGTGTGAGCTGTCCTCCCTTGAGGAGGAAGGAGCAGCGGAGACAACGTGTGAGGAACTGACCTCAGCCTCACTCCTTGGCCCCCTGTGCCACTGCTGGGAAGGAAGTAGAGAACTGGGAGTGAAGTTCAGCCTGGGAAGATGGGAGAACTGGGGGAAAAACGTTTTTATGACTTTGGTTTATTTCTCATTATTCTCCTCTGATTTGATTGGTAATAAATTAAACTAATTTTCCCCAATTCAAATCGGTCTTGCCCATGACCCAATTGCTGAGAGATCACTCCCTGTCCTTACCTTGACCCATGAGCCTTTCTTTCTATTTCCTCTCCCCCGCCCAGATGAGGAGGGCAGTGATAGAGCAGCTTTGGTGGGTACCTGGCAGCCAGTCAGGATCAAACTGCTACAACTATATAAAGCCTATATAAAAATATGAAGAAATGTAAACTTTAATATCCTTGGATACTGCATTAGAAACAGCCATGTGACTGTAAAGTCTAAGAGAAAGAAAATGTTTTGTTTTCGTTCACTAAAAAGCACTAACATACACATAACAAATTCTAAGTTTTTTATAAATTCTGCAACCAATTATAAATTTTTATAAATTAATTAAAAGTCTGTCATTGTAATTGCAGCTTTCCTGTAGCTACAGGACCCTGTCGATCCTTAACAATAATTTTCTACCCGGTCCTAGTCAATATGCAGCTGGTGAAGAGATTGAAAGGTGCCAAAAATATTCACCATAAAAAAGCATGTCACATTACAACAGTTGTACAATGGCAGCTGACAGATCGAAAAAAACCCCAAACCAAATAAACAGTGATGGGTCAATTCCAGGGCAAAGAAAATCCTTACAACAGCTCAGAGCCGTAACATTCATCTTCAATTTATATGAATGGAACAGTTTTACCACAGTTTAATAACATCACCACCACCACTAGTCTCTGCGACTAAGATTACCATGGTTATAGATGAGTTTGTAACATTCTTGCGTTAAGAACTTAGTTTCAAATACAAAAACATTCATCAGCTTCCCAGAGACTGCAGCAACACAGTATACCTGAGCAAAAAATAGCCAGCTTCAAAAAAATACAAATTAATACAGAATGCTGAAATATTTTCTTGTTAATTCAAAACACCAAGGGCGCACATCTCAAAACCAGCTTCCCCACACGATATCAATTCAAAGCTCTAATATTCTACCATCTCTGTGCCTCCTTCAATCCACCTGAAAAAATCATGTTAAGTTTAAGAATGCAAAATAAGAATTTATAACTTCATCTCCCAGGTGCAATGAACCTTTACCATAAATACAGAAGCTGTGTAGGATGACTGGTTAAAATTCTGCCAGCTTCTTCTCCAAACACTAAGCACCTTCAATATTCCATCTTAAACATCACTTAGAGACTGTATACAAAGAAGTCAAAACCTAAAGAAGTCTCCACAGTCCTCATACAACAAACTCAAAGTCCTTTAGGGCCAGAAAGGAGAAAGAGAACATTCAATGTATGATAGTTGTATCACTTAATACAGTTCAGCAAACTGCTAAACACATGACTTATGTGATACAAAACCTCTGCAGGATGGGCTAGAGAAATCTCTGATCCTACAGCTGAGCACCCACTCAGTCCCACACTCCAGCTGTGTTGCAGCTGTGAGCAACTGGCTGTTACTCCTGGATCTTGGAGCACAAGCACCATCAGCACAGCTCTACCTGCAAGATGCTATACAAACCCCCACAGAATATAATGTTGAAAGGAGTAGTTCTCTGTGTAGACTCCATTATTTCACTATTTCCATACCTGCATGTCAGATGGAGAACTTCCACTAAGAACTTTGGGCTTCTCTAGTTTGGAGAAAAGGAGGCTGAGGGGCAACCTCATTGCTTACATTTTCCTGAGGAGAGGACATGAAGAAGGAAGTGCCAATCTTTCCCCTCTGGCATCCAGGAACAGGATGACTGGGAATAGTTCAATGCTGTGCTAGAGGAGGCTTAGACTGGATATTAGGAAGCATTTTATAATGAGTGGGTGGTCAAACACCAGAACAGGCTTCCCAGAGAGGTGGTTGGTGCCCAAGCCTGACAGTGCTCAAGAGGTATTGGGATGATGCCCTTAATAACCTGCTGTAACTTTTGCTCAGCCCTGCACGGGTCAGGCAGTTGAGTAGATGATGGTTGCAGGTCCTTTCCAACTGCAATATTCTACTCTACAACCAAGTAAGGCATAAAAGAAGTGGTGACTAAGTGTAGCTTATTCAGGGTCTTCACTATTATACTATATGGATTCTGACCATTGTTGCTTCATTAAAACTTTTATAGACAACACTTGTTAAACATCGGATACCTTCCTCAGATTAAGAAATAAAAAACCTGCACAGTTACAAGAATTCACTACCTTTTGGAGAGCTTTTAAAAAATAATTATATTAAACAATTAATGCATCTGTCAAAGATTACATTTCTAAGCTAAGGTCTTCAGCATGGTCTTGGCTGAAACAGTTAAACTTTTAATCAAAAGGCTATAATAAAGTATTTGAAAGAGGGTTTGACACATACATAAACAAACTGAACTGTATGTGGCTGAAACAAGCAGGTAAAATCATAATTTATTTTACTAGAAAGCTTATCCTTCTAGCTGCCGTTTCAATGTTTTGTTCACACATCAAAATGATGTTCTGTGGTTTGGTGGGCTGCTGGCTCATTGCCACAAAGGTACAGGAGTTACAGAGCAAGGCCAATCCACCTCATTCCTTCTCATTGACCAGCTGCCAACAGGCACCATATGCTCACACAGCAACATATTTCAGCTTTTGCTTCTTCTCCAAAGTCATTGTTTATGTAAGTACTATTAATTAAAACTACTGTCCCCCTCAGAAGGTTCAGTTCATCCCCACTGGCATTACCTGTTTACTTCACCTGACGCTCTTACAAATTAAACAAGACACTTTTCTCCACACCTTTGTCCTTCTTTCTCTTGTCTGGGCAGTGCATTGAGGAAACTCAGAAATGGTGAGGAATTCAGACAGAAAATTGGGATCATCAGGAAACAGCAGATATGAACAGGGGGAATCCAAAGAACCCAGGACAGGAAAAAAAGGACATGGCTATAGCATGCTATCACTGCACAGCACTAAAATTAGCACTACAGCAGGGCAAGGAGAAGGTGGAGGTAAGAATAGGCTTGAGTATGAATAGAACTTTAAAAAAAATCAAACTTGGGAAGAGGCAAAAGCAAAGAAGCCCTGGTAGTAGGAAGGTAAGGGGGAGCAAAGACTAGAAAGGAGGAAGAGGCTGGCATGAACCTAGACTGTAAACTATTCGAAAAACAGACACAGAAACTGAGAAGGTAGAATCGAAAGACAGAGATGATACTGGTGGCAAAAGGATTGTTCAGAGGGAACAAACAAACCAGTAGCTATAAGAGTATCTAGAACAGAACTCAAAAACCTTAGATTTCCTTGTTCTTCCTCTGCTACTATAAACCACTCGTGCATTTCTCATTTAGTCCCAAACTTGCCTATCCATTCTATAAGTCTGTCTCCTCAGAGTTCCTCTTAGTTTTTCAAAATACATTCTAGTGCTTTATCGAAGATAGGTTATTCAAACCCTGCCTTTGACTCAGTATGGAGGAAAACAATATGCAACAAAATTGTTTTCACAGAACGATTGAACTGAGGACTGCTATTAATGCCGATCAGCTTTCACCTCTGTAATTCCTTAACTTTCCAGTGCTTGTCTTTTCCAGTCTTAAAACGTTCCGATTACCACTGTACATGTAGTCTGCCTAGGGCTGGCACTTAACTGTCACACCGTGTGACAGGGGAAGCAGCCAAGCCAAAGGCAGTACGTAGGGAGCAGCGCTACAAACGCTGACGGACGCATGTGCTATGGCAGCGCTGTGTTACGTGGCAGCCGGCAGGAGGAAACAGCCGTGCGCACGCAGGCACGGCCCGGAGCAGCGGCGGATCCGCACGGACACAAGCGGAGCCCTGCGGGAGAAGCCGCGCCGCGGGGAACGCGGGCGACAGGCGGGCTCGGAGCCGGCCACGGCAGCGCCGGGCCCCGGCTCTCACGCCGAGCTCCCAGCCCACACCCGCGTGGGAAAGCGCTGCCCCGGGGCTCTTTGCGGGCGGCTCCGGGGCCCGCTCGCTCTCCCCGGGGAGCGCGGGACGCTCCGCGGCGGCGGTGAGGGGCGGGCTGCCCGCCCGGGCGGAGCCGCTGCCGGCGGCCCCGGCTGCCCCTCGCCCTCCCCCGGGGCCGCACTCACCACCTCCCGCGCCCTGCTGGTGAAGTCGCTTTTGGAGCGGGCGGTGCCCCGCTTGAGCAGCTCGTCCCTGGCGCTGTCCCCCGCCGCAACCCCCAGCGCTTTGTTGCGGGTCTTCACGGTCTTCACGCTGGCCTTGAAGAGCAGGGTGATGTCCACCGCCATGGCGGCCGCCGGTGCCGCCGCGCGCCCTTCCCCGCGCAACGCGGCCCCGCGCGGCGCGTTCCGGCGGCGGGAGGGGCGGGGAGGCCGCGGCGGGCCAGGCCCGGGATAGCAGCGCCCTGCGAGGGACGGGACGGGACGGGACGGGACGGGACGGGACGGGAGCCGTGTCCCGGCACAGCCTGCACGTGTGGCCAGCGCTATGTAAACGCTGTACGGAAAATAGAACGTGTATGGTGTAACGGCGTCCTGCCAGGTGTCGCCAAGCGGTGCAGGTGCAAGGCAGGTTAATTAGATTTGGTTAATGCATATTAACCAGAGCTGCAGTGCGATCTGGGGTAGGCGCTGGGGTGAGACTCATCTCGGAAATGCCATCACGTGTGATCAGACCCTGATCTCTGCTCCGTGGTGAGGAGGACAGGACCTGAGGAAATGGCCTGACGTTGTGTCCATCAGGGGAGAGTTAGGCTGGATATTTGGAAAAGGTTCTTCACCCACAGAGTGGCTGGATACTGGCACAGGCTCCCCAGGGAAGCAGTCACAGTGCAAAGCCTGACAGAGTTCAAGAAGAGTTTGGACACTGCTCTCGGGCACACGGTGTGACTTTTGGGGATGTCCTGTGCAGAACCAGGAGTTGGACCCGATGATCCTTGTGGGTCCCTTCCAACACAGAATATTCTGTGTTTCTGTGACTGTATGTCCCATGGCCACATATCCCTGTGTGGGAGGAGCAGCCTTGTTACCCCTGGGGCGTGCAGCGATGGTTTTCTCTCCTGAAGGGAAAGCTGACTTCCTAGGTGCCCCGATCTGCTGCCATCCTGCACTGGGACAGTGTCACATCAGTACCTGCAACATGTATCACAATGTTTGTAATCGGATTCCACAATAAACTTTGTGAAATAACCTTTGTTATCGAGGCAACTGTATTATCATGTTCTGTACAGTGGCCTAGCTATGTGAGATTGCATGGCACAGGGGAAAGCTTTTGACCAAATAACTAGTCGTGATGTTTATATAAATATACTTATAGATACATATATGCCACCCAGTGCTCTGAGATCCAGCAGACACCATGTAGTTTTTAACTGTCCTTTCACTGTCCAGAAGCACATTCATTCCCTGACACAGTCTCCAAAGAATACAATTTCAAAATTCCTACCTCACCCCAGTGCTGAAACTTAATCAACCAGAACTATTTTTCCTATCTACTCCAGGGTATCAGGCTTTCTTCTCATCTTGATTACTACTCTGCTTTCAATTAGATTCCCATCAATTCAGCCATAGCTGTACATTAGTGGTTCATTCATAATTATATTGGAATTCATTCATACTTTGTTATTATTGTTCTATTCTAAATTGTTTTTTTATTGTGGTACGGATACATATTTCTAATTAAAGGAATAAACTGTTTTAAGTCTCTGTCCTCGGTGCTGGATTTACCATGAGAATATATTTAAGGTATTAAATAGTGGACAGTGAAGGAGATTAAAGTTGCCATTCCAGGAATGCCAGCAGTACTTGATTGAACCCTGAGTCAAATGCTTTATCTTTTAAGATTAAGAAATTCAGTGTAATGATATGTCAGCAAAGGACATATTTCATAAAGGTATGTGAAACACACATAGGAAATCAGAATCTTTCAGGTGTGTTTCCTAATCTTGATAGATTTTCTTTTCTTGTGTTACCAAAACCAGAGCAGTCACATTTAATAAACTTTGAGGAATTACTTTATCATGCTGACATCCTCAGTCTTAAATTCCTTGAAGACACTTCTGAGACATGTTCATGAATGCTACCTGTTAAGATAATTCCGTGTGCTGTGGTTCTGCCATCCTTATCATAACTAATAACTAATTCCACATACACATTTTTTCACAGGCACTTGCACAGGTTAGTTTTTGTCAGTAGAAATAAGAAGGCCACGTCTTGGTCCATGGTTGTATGCTCCTGAAAGTGTAGCTCATAGCGTTAACCTGTGGTTTTGTGCATATTCAGCTATATGGTTTGTTCCAATACTTAATGAAGCAAAGATTTACACTCCCTTAAATTATTCTCATTTAAATGGCCATTAGATAAGAATCTGCAGAGTTTTTCGTATCAGAGTGCTGCTTTTTTTACATTTAAACTGTAGAAATATGAAAACTATTTTGAAATTTTGAACTTCACCTTCCCTTCCTGCTATTAGGAAAAAGCCCAATGCATTGATGCCTGTGTCAAGTAATAGTTTAATTAATTTCTAATGATATTTAAATTCTTTAGAATAACTGGAATACTCTATACATATTTTGACCAAAAAAAGGAATCAACAATTCATTAAAGCAGAGCAAATTTTAACGGACATACTATAGTTTACCTCCTATTTTTGCAAAGATTTATACACATATTAAACTACTTTGAATACTCCCGCCGAGGTCAGTGGAACCTCACAAGGCACACACAGTTAAGCACATAACTCTTTTACTAGATTGGGACCTTAGCTGGAAATTCTTTGGGAGCAAGATCATGTCTTTATTTCTACTTTTACTTATTTATTTGTGCTTCATGTGACCAATAGTTACTGAAAAACACCCTGAAACAGTAATATTACACAACCAATTTTGAACCTCAACAGTCTTAAAACTTCCATTCCAGCCCAAGGAAATAAACAGAGACACATTTTAGAAGAAACAGAGTATTAAAATTCCATGTAGCTGATCTCATCTGTCAGAAATAGACTGAACAGTTAATCTGGCAAAAGAAAAAGTACCTTTTTAATGTGAAAGAAGGTTGGTCAGATGGTCTAACTCATTAGGTATATAATACCCAGGGCCTCTGCTGTAGAGATAGATAGCTTTGAAGATTACAACTGCTTTAAAATCATTTGCTAAGAACTGGTGCCCAGAGCTTTCATTTGAACTTGATCCGAGCTTCCTGTATACAGTAACTGCATCTCCTCAGTAGGCATTTGCACTTCCACAGCCACCTAATTTTAAAAGCTTAGAGCTTACTTTGGAGCAGATAGCTTTCAATGCAGTACACGCTGGAGCTTCCTGTAATTGCTAAAAACACTCACCTTGAAATTTAAGATTTTAAGGTTGGAGTAAAATTCTGAAAACACGCACAAAAGCACTACAGTCCCACCATAGGCAATGAAGGTAAATTGGTGGGACCACATGCTCTGTGCACTCTGTTTTGATCCAACAGGAGCATGTCTGGAAGAGAAGAAATTAGGACATTGCAAACTACAACAGTTCTGTGTGCCTGTGAGGAACAGCAAGCTGATCATCAGGTATATTTACCTGCCTAACAGGCAGTCCTTGGAAAATCTGCCTGTGAAAAGGAGTTCGTGTTTCCCTGTGATTATCAATCAATGTGCCCATTAAAGAGGGGCTGGTGGGGTTGTCTCAGAGACAGGTAACTTTTCAAATTGTAATTTCCTTTGGTGTGAAAGACAAACAAAAGGAATAAAGCTCATGAGCTTCCTCCAAGTGTTACAAAGGTCCTAATTTGGCACAGGCAGCAGAAAACTACATGTGGTCTTTTATTATACATTTTTTATTTTTTCTGGCATAAGCCCAGTAACTTTCTTAATGTGATGGCAGTGTTGCAAACTGAAGAGAATATCAAGAGGAAGGCAGTTTGCTCACAGTGCACATTTGTAGATGTTGGGAAGGACGAGAATTTAATAGAGGAGTTTTGCACATATACAGAGAGTTCTATAGGAATAAGGGTAAGTTTTGACATATAAAAGATTTTTTTAGAGCAGTTGTTGTTGAAACAACTGAGAGAACAAAGGTTTAGTCAAGTTAGAAGGAGTTTTATGACTAGAGTCCAAAGACTAAATGGCCTTTAAACAAAAGGATAAGTCTTTAAATAAGGCATGTTTTCTATCAAGCAAAAAAGCATAAGCAGACAGAAAAATTTTTTTTACTAAAGCTAGAGGAAATTTCCACTGCATAACAAATCCTAAAGTTTAACATATCACTACTAACTCCAATGATTGGCTAGTCACTAACATAATATGGTAATTTTAGCAGTTTTGATAGGTTATATATAAATGTAAAAGTATTGTGTATGATGTTGATTAGTAGTCATATATTAAGATGCTCTGTAATGAAAACTATACAATGCATTGTAATATGAATAGAAATGGGCTTCAGGACACACGGCTTGCCTATAGCCAGCAGCTCTGGGCTCACCCACAACCCTCAGCTGCTGTAAACTCGTCTATGCCATAAACAGCATTTTAAGAGCTGGCTGAAGCCTCCATCTCTCCGTCAAGCTCTTACAGTAAGAAAAATCAAAAAGAGAGAAACTCCATTTGATGACAGTTTGAACTTTTAAGCCAATTTTGTTCATATTTACTAGCTTACACTTGAAGTAAAAAAAACTTCGTTTCAATGAAGTGACCATACTTCCCTTGTAGAGGTTGTGTTGTCTTCCATCCCCACTTTTAAACACTAAAGATTACTCTGCACGTCCACAAGGTTTTGTGGAAAGAATGGATATGAACTGCAACTTGTATTTGTCTGTGGCCACAAATATTGGCTGCTAGGAACCAGTTCAATTGGCAGGAGAGTGATCTTCCACTGATTCCATGTTAACAAAATGCAAAAGTGATGGTAGGATGGCCCCTTGCAAAAGAATGAGTAAAACAAAAATGCAAAGAGGGTAGAAAAACTAAAATGTAGAAAGAACCTATTTAAACAATTATTGTAAAGGAGAAGAGGAGAGAAAATGGAAAGAGCTTCTCCAAAGTTATTTATAGACAATTATAGGAGAAAGGGAGTTATGAAATCTGGGCCTTTTTTTTTCAATTTTCTCATAAGAAACTCAGATCCTGCTGTGTACATAATAAACCATCCCACATGATGGTTGGACAGGCATTAAATTGATGTTATTTTATGTGCTTTGAAAGTAAAAGAGGAAAAATCAAATTGGTATTTTAATTCTGTTTCAATTGATGTAAACAGCAGTGACCAGCTGATATGTCAGGGAAACAATGTCTTTCTTAATGCCTGAGTGCTTCCCACAT